AACTGGTCAAAGTTATGAAACAAGAGTTTGAAATGAGCATGATCGGAGAGTTAACTTATTTCCGAGGATTACAGGTAAATCAGTCAAAAGAAGGAATATTTATTTCTCAAACAAAATATGCGAAAAATCTCATATCCAAATTCGGTCTGGAATCTGCAAAAGATGCCCGAACACCCGTCTCTACAACTACAAAATTATCTAAAGACAATCAAGGAACTTCTGTTGACTCCACCTTATACAGAAGTATGATTGGTAGTCTGCTATACCTAACGGCTAGCAGACCGGACATCATGGTAAGTGTTGGAATGTGTGCACGATATCAAGGAGATCCAAAGGAATCACATTTGAAGGCTGTCAAGCGTATCATAAAATATGTGAAAGGTACAATTAATTACGGTATTTGGTATTCTACTGATACAAATCTTAGCCTTACAGGTTTTAGTGATGCTAACTGGGCGGGTAACGCCGACGATAGGAAAAGCACGTCCGGAGGATGTTTCTTTATTGGGAAAAATCTGATTGCCTGGCTGAGTAAAAAGCAAAATTCAATATCACTCAGCACTGCAGAAGCTGAGTACATAGCTGCAGGCAGTTGTTGTACTCAATTATTATGGATGCGACAAATGCTGACTGACTATGGGTTTGACCAGAAAAATATGATACTCTTCTGCGACAACACGAGCGCGATCAATATATCTAAAAATCCGGTTCAACACTCTCGGACAAAACACATAGACATCCGTCATCATTTCATCAGAGAACTAGTCGAAGAAAAAGAGATCAAACTAGAATATATTCCGACTGAAAAAAATCTTGCAGACTTATTCACAAAACCGTTAGATAAATCCAGGTTTGAATTACTTCGTGCCGCTCTCGGAGTTTGTACGATTAATGTTTAATTGCTCCAACAGGTAAACAATTTAATCTTTTATCAGTTTATGTATTCTACTTCTCTTAGTAATCTAATTAATTTTTTTTCCTTCGAATTTTTCAGGAATAAAAGCAATATCGTGCTGAATTATTTTTTTTCACATCAAAGTTGTCTTCTCCTTATCTAATACACTTATAATGTGCCTAATTTTTATTTGTTTTGTTATTCGTGTCTTCTTAAACAACTAGAAGACTTATTCAAGTCAAAACCTATTTTTTATCCTAAAACCCTCTAATTTGTTCCCATCATACCCTAGGTCTTCTACCCATCATCTCATCCCACGCCTTTTGAGAAGACATCACATCACATTAAATGCTTTGTCTCTTTCCTTGCATTCCCTTCACCCAAAGCCGAGACCTTCTTCTTCTTCATCTAGTTTTCTCCATCTTAGTCCACCATTGTTAATCCTAGAACCAAGACACAAAAATGGACAATCCCTTTTTCGTACATGTTTCCTCCTCTGCAAGAATCACAATGCTTCATCAAATTATAGACGCTGATTCACCTTTTCCACCCGAAATTACTGATCGGATTCTAGCCACCATCAAGCAACAATCTTCTCTTCTAGATGGTCTCACGGACAAGGAACGCCGCCAGCTGCTTGCCCTTGCCCGCCATGTCTTCGCCGTGCCCTTTCCCATTCCAACCGAGTCTGCCATACCGGAGCCAATACCAGTGTCTGCTCTCCTCTCTCCGGTCAATCCAGTGGTATCACCCTCTTCCCTTTCTCCTCTTGGTCGAAATTTATCCTCTTCTCGTAAAATAGATTTCAATGTTTCTTTACCTGAGCAGTTTGTGTCCTCTGTGCCCACTTGTTCCATAAATGTACATTCTCTACCATTACCAAATGATCCCTATGATCCGGTTTCTCATCCCGTATCCTGCTTTACTGCTCCCTTATTGTCTTATTCTGATTATGTGAGCTCTTTGTCATCCAATTTCTCTATTCGAAATATAGCACAAAATTTATCCTCTCCAAATATACCTATGCCGTGTTCTGCCTTCTCCATTCCCATTCACATACCTATCACTACTGCAAAAACGGAGACCATCCCTATACCTTTGTCACCAATGAAAGACTCTGTTCCCCTTATTACTGTGCCTTTATCTAAGCCTTCCCGTAAGGGAAAAGAGAAATTGTGTGATGCAGGTCCCACTGAAAAGAGAAAGGAGAAATTGTGTGATGCAGGTCCCACTGAAAAGAGAAAGATTACCGATGTGGATGCTATAGATGGTCCCTCTGACCGAAAACATCAATGACGGGGGTCCACTCTACCACCAAGGATCACTCGTTCCCGAGCCAATGTTGATACTCCAATTATCCCTCCTTCATCAGGTTCCAAATCAAGGAGTTCGGGCAAGGTCTACAAACCCAAGCTGCTTTCACCTGAGTTATTGACAGTTTGGCAGACTCATATTCACCGAGAGTTCATCGTTGAAAAAACCATCAATGAAGCAGATTTGACTGCCAAGTGTAACATTATCCCCTTGATGCGAGATCAAAATCTACTTGCTTCCCTCCGGCATGTTGGTCCGTATTCTACTTGGTTGACGGCCGAATTCTATATAAACCTGACTTTGGACACATTTACTGAAGGCTCCGCAAGGTTTCATCAAGTCTATATTCGTGGCAAATGGTACCCCTTTGGCCCTACGGAGATCAATGCTTATTTGGGGACCCCGAATAATCCTGCCTCACCGGATCCGAGCCCTCAATTGTTAGCTACTGCTCTCACTCATAACAAGGTAGTTTCATGGCCGCGGGATGGTCTTTCTAGCTTGAAGCTCACCACGGTTTATTCTGTGCTTTTGCGCCTAGCTTCCGCGAATTGGGTCCCGGCCGTGCGTCGTCACCAAATTTCGGAACAACTAGCTGGACTCCTATACAAAATCCGGAACCGCCTTCCATTCAACCTTGGCATGGTTATTTTCTCTCATTTAATGTCTTTTTTGCAGAAAAAGGAGGCCAAAATACATCTTCCGTTTCCATGTTTGATCTTCGGAGTCCTTCAAGATCACGGTTTTCAACCATATAAGGAGGAAGTCCTTACAACTCCCGACAATGCCTACATTTTTGATGATCGACTCACTCAACGAGGTCATTATGATGGTCGGGCGTCTCTGGCTCAACTTCCGGACATTCCACCTCCGGCACCACTATATTCTGCCCCGGCGTCTTCAGCTGACACTGCTTCGGCTTCTCGTCCGGGCGCTAAACGGATTCCCAAAGAACCCACTACTTTGGTTGATCGTCGGCAGATTCTACTCACTCTTGAGGCCTCTATTGCGCAGGTTCAGCAGTCCGTTGCCTCTCAACAAGCCACCATCGCTGGCCTGGAAAATCTTAGGGATGTACAGCTCAAGGAAATCACTCGTATGGAAGCTATTCACGCTCAGATTCTTGCACACTCTGGTGCTGCTAACTCGGGTACTGACTCTGAAGAGGGAGACGATGATTCTGACTCGGGCACCCCGTCTGCACGGTAATTCTGATCCACTATTTTGATGTTCACCTGCCTTTGTCATTTTCTTTGGCAAAAGGGGGAGTAGTACGGATGTTTTGGTTAGGAGTAAGGGGGAGTAGTACGGATGTTTTGGAAGGTAGTTTATTTTGGAAGTGTTTTGACTGCTACAATATTGATTTTGGTTTGGCTATTTTGGACATGATTATGCTAGTAAAAGTAATAATGGACTGCCATTAGTTAGGGGGAGTAATAGAAGTGTTGGTGCTCCTAACTAACAGTATTTTTTTGGTATGACATCTACTCAAAGTACGTTGATTGAATTGATATGCTGCTATGGTTTCTACGTCTATGTATGATTCAAGATTTGGAGTAATTTAATCAGGGTTTCAACTCACATGTGGTCCAAAAGGCTTCAATAGTTATTTGTTTTATTTCTCTTTGATGTCTTGTTAAGTATCTATACTAAGGGCCGTAAATAAATTTAAAATTGATTCTTGTCCAACGTATTTGATACTCAAGTTTTCCAAATAAAATGCCAAAGGGGGAGATTGTAAGTGTAAAATATTTTTACACAATATTGGCAATTTTATTTTTATTTTACTAGTGTTAGTTTTAATATTAATTTAGAGTTGCTATTTCATTATGGACCACGTGAGATCTTAATTAGTGGACAGTATTCCTTGTATTCTTAAAGTCCACAAAGAAGCTTTTCAAATTGAGTGGATGAGGCTTGTTCGAACAGTGTGTTGCTAAGGGAAAGGCTACATGGGTGGATCAAGACAAACAAGACTTATGAAAGGATTATAAATACACACAGTTCGAAGGAAGCAATTGCCGATATTTTGAGAATTACAATTGCGAGAGCTATTCTGATATTTACAAAGCAATTTATAATTTGAATGTATTTTCTGATTTAATTCGTAAGAATATTTGTATTGTACTGCATGAACAGTACGTGGTACTACTGAAGCAATTTGTGTAGTTTGTTCGGGCGTTCGTGTGTCAGTCCTGGATAGGTGTTAGAAAGAGTGGTAGTGGTAAAGGCTGGAGGCCGTTTTCAGTTACCTCTTGTAATACTCCTTTGGTGAACATCTATAGTGGATTGGACAGACGTGGGTTGCCTCGCAGATGTAGGAGAAGGAGCTCCGAACTGCGTAACAATTTCCTTGTGTTTTTATTTTATTTATGCTTTCTGCAGTTATTATTTATTCTTGCATAAACAAGTTTAATTAATTAACTAAACTGGTACATAACTCAATTATCTTATAAAAACACATAACGGTTATTTTTCAAGTATCACGGTACATTTTCAGTTCTTAATGCAATTGAGAAAATTCTCAACTCTAAAAAGGTTAGTTAACTTGTTTATCAGTATTTGAATAAGAAATCGTCAATGCATTTTCATTTTATCGGTAAAGAAGCCACGGAAGAGATGCTAGAGAAGTTTGGTCTCGATCAATTTTAGTATGGTAATTGTGGAATTCCATCAATATGATAATCATAATGCTTTGTTTAATGTTCTTTTATTCAATCTAGCTTTACTATTCACTGATTTTGAATTATTCTTGTTTCTAGCTAACATCCAAGTCATCATGCATCATAGATGGTGCTAATGATTGCAGCCTTTTCCATTAGCTATGGGAAACTCAAAAATTTTTCTCGACAACTAACGCTATAGAAAAGGGTTGACAAAGCAGTTGGTAATGGTTAAACAAATGGCAAATCCAACAACATCTAATGACCTAAACCCAATTGATAATTTGATAAAGTGTGCCATATATGGATCTCACCAAATGCATTGTTGAGATCAATCAACCGTCGTCATATTCTTTGCCCCACTCAATCATTCCGGCATTACCAATGACTAGCTATTTGATCGGTAGAAGCATTGCTTGTACTGTGGCCTATTGTGCTGGCCTTCCTATGCCTAGCATAAAGTAAGATTTAAATTATGATATTTTATGGTGGGATTACACAATTCTTCTCAACTAATGCAGTTCATTTATTATTAAATGTTGACATATTATGTATATTTCTTCTCAATTATATTAATACTATACAAATAATAATAATAATAATAATGTTATACAATTGAATTAATAGTAAAAGTATAAAATTATTATTTTGTATTGTATTATCCTCAATGATAAGTAATACAACGAACAACATAATAATTAGTTTGTGATTATTTCATATTTAAGCATGATTATTGATATGATTTTTCAGGTTTGAAAGTGAACTCAACATTATAACTACCAAAATCAAGGATATACTCACCACTTGTTCCCCAGCACTAGGTTTGTTTCATATCACATATAATTTTTTGCATGCATGTCATGAGTACATAATATTTAGATACGTTATGTCAAAACTAATATTTTAAAATATTTTTTTTCTTAATATAGAAGAGAAGAGAGGCGAAGAATCTTATCAAGCATTACAACATGATTTATTTAACAACTCTTCCAATAAATCAAAAGTTTTAAAGTTAATATTAAATGCCATTGATGATAATGAGATTTCACTTTCTTCGCGCCAATACAGCATGGTAAGATTACAAACATTGAACAATGATGTTCACTTCCTGTTGTTATTATAACTTTAAAAGTCAATAAAACAAATTTCACTTTTCCCTGTTGTTGCATCATCTTTACCCTCAACGAAAAATTTCTTATCATCCACTTCCTTAAAAAATAATAATTTAAAAATATGATTATCAAATTCAAAATAAAAGTTTCTATGTGAAAAAAAAGTATTTTAACAACCACACTACTCCAATAACTTTCTAAAATAAACTCTACAGTATATATAAAATAGATATCAATATTTTCTAAACTTTATTTGGCAATAACCAAAATAATTAGGTATCTTTCGCTGCTTGTATTTATATTACACCGTATTTAAAATAAATATAAAATTTATGTGTGAAATTTTTGTTTTTGTTTTTGTTTTTTGTTTTTGTTTTTGTTTTGTTTTGTTTGTTTGTTTTTTTTTTTTTTTTTGGTATAATTTATGTGTATAATTTCCAACCGTACTTAGACATACCAAAAAAAAAAAAAAACAAAATACACCTTCCAAATCCAAGTTAGAATTATTATTTTTTTTTTTTGAAACCAAAGGCATTAATATTACTAATCCAGAAGACTGGAAATGCAATCAGGAGGTACAATCGACCACACACCCGAGCCAGACGAAGAATAAGTTGCTCGTGCAAGAACATGAGCCACTCGATTCGCTGATCTCTTGACATGGCGAACAACAACGTTCCCAATGTTGCTAGCAATCAATAAGCAATTAAGCATTACTTCACAATTGAATCTACGTATGAAAAATCCAAAAGACAAGAATTAAAAGCGTTGCAAAAAAGTAAACAATCGGTTTCTATTATTAAACGGTCGTGGCTTAGACCACGAAGCCATGAGAGAGCTTCTTTTACCGCGCAAGCCTCTGCCATCAAAGGATCACGATTGCAGACCAGACGGGCATTCTTCGCTGCCACAAATCTACCATCATGGTCTCGTATTGCCACCCCGAAGCCCACGCTATCAACCAAAATCGCTGCGTCTACGTTACGTTTCAGCCAGTGCTTTGACGAGGTTCCCAGATCACACAAAAGTAAGCTATACACGCTCTGGAAGCTGCCAGCTTATAGGCGTCATTCCATGTGGTAATCGACATCAGTATATGATTGTGTATCACCGCAATTTCCCACACTTTGTTTCTCCAAACTCGATCGTTCCTCACGGTCCAAAGCATCCAGAAGACTGCACCCATATGCACAACCCTCTCCACACATGAGCTAGATAGAACTGTTTCAATGAAAGCTTGAATAGAAGCCCCCTGCAACACGTCGTCTCTCTTCCAAACTTGCTGTGCTATCCAACATTCCCCTAAAAGGTGCTCGGCTGTTTCAGCGTACTACATGCAGAGCGGACACCCGCCCCCAATCCACACACTTTTTGATTTCAAATTCTCGCAAACCGGGAGGATTCCACGAGCACAACGCCAAATCAGATTACGTACCTTAGGCGGAATTGGTAAGCCCCAAAGCTTCTCCCACGCAGCGAACTCCCCTGGTGCATGCAAAGAATGATTGGCTGTTAAGATCTTGTATCCTTGCTTGACCGAGTAAGCCCCTCGTATGTCACCCGCCCACCGCCATGAGTCCCGCAAGTGAGTAGCTATGGGGGTAGCGACGATCCTGCGCACGTCTACTTCATCGAAAAGGTCGTGGAGAATCTCCTCATCCCACCGTCCGCGATTAGTCATTAGACCACTTACAGTAGCCTCCCTTAGGGTGTCTACAAGAGGAGTAGTAAGAATGGAATTAGATGGGTCAGCTAACCAAGGCCAACTCCAGATTTTTGTAGCCTTGCCATCCCCGAAACGACGTGCTAAGCCCTCTCTCAAAACACTTTGCCCTGCCATAATACTCCGCCACATGTAACTCGGGTTGTTACCTATACTAGCTTCCATGAAGTCGCATTTTGGAAAGTACTTCGCTTTCAAAAGTTGACTCACCAACGAATGTGGAGTAATCAATAAACGCCATCCTTGTTTGGCAAGCAATGCAATATTGAACTCGTGTAAGCATCTAAACCCCAATCTACCCCGACATTTTGGCACACTTAGGCGAGACCAACTCATCCAGTGCAGGCCCCCACCGTTCGACATTCCTCCACGCCACCAGTAACGATTGAACAAATTTTCAATCTTATCACACAACTGATCTGAACTGGTAACAAAAAGACGGACATAGTAAATATTGGAAGGGCCTGAGCGACACTTTTAAGCATGACTTCTTTACCTGCTTTTGAGAGAAATCTGTGTTGCCACGACCCTAACCGCTCCCGAACCTTCTCCTCTATATACGAAAGGTGGCCGATTTATTGCGACCCAGGACCGAAGGCAGTCCAAGGTAATGGCCGAAATCCGTCGTCTCTCGGACCCCCATGCATGCAGTGACCATATCTCTCGTCTCGGTTCCATTGTTTGAGCTAAACATGATGCTGGACTTGTCGTAATTGATTAGTTGCCCCGATGCTGCACTGTAACTATCAAGACACCCCTTGACTGGTTGAGCTTCCTCACGAGTAGCCCTGAAGAAAAGCAGACTGTCGTCCGCGAAAAATAAGTGTCACGGTCGGAGCCCCCCCCCCCCCCCCTCCCCCCCCGCTCCCCGCAATCCGTACCCCATGAGTTAGAATTTGGCTCAAAAGATACATTATATTTTATTATTATTCGAATCCAAAAGAGGTATGTCAAATCACATAACTTACTACAGTTAGTCTGAAGAACCGAGCAAGATTCGTGGATCAATTTATAAAACTGGCTAAATTTTGGGAAGTGACTGAATACATATTTTGCCAATGCAAACCATGAAACTTAGAATTATAATTGAACTAAATTTATAAATTCTAAGAATTTTGATAAAATTATCATCTAATGGGTTGAGGGATTTATTGACATAAAACTTGGGCAATTTATATCGTGCAATTTATATTTTGGGAATTCCGCTTCCTGTGTCGTTTGTTAATTTTCTTTAAAAAAAAATCTCATGTTTCAAAAATGCACATAATTGTATACTAAAATGTACATAATTGTATACTAAAATGTACATAATTGTATAACAAAATATACATACACTTTTTTGAAAAGATAATACACATAATCTAACATAATACATAATACACATAAACTTTATTTTAACATAATACACATAAATTCCTTGTTTCGGATGTACATAATTGTATACAAAATGTACATAATTGTATAAAAAATGGACATAATTATATAAACAAATGTATATAATTGTATACCATAATATACATAATCGCGTCAACTTCCTACACAACTTAACAATACGATGTTGTTTTGAGAGGCGCGGGACGCACAGTGCTGTGTGCACCGTGGTGCAGGGTATAACGATTGTAAAAATTGCCTGTGGGCTAAAGTTTTAATTATATTAAATCCAATTAAGAAACCCATATTATAATATTTTATCTCAATTACTAAACAGACAGAAGAATCTAGAGACATAAAATTTGCCTGTGGGCTAAAGTAGTTTTAATTCAATTAGATCCAACTGAAATTGTATTTATGATGAAATAATTATCAAATGAGTCGAATAATCAAGTGACATAAAACTTGCCTGTAGGCTAAAGTTTTATTCAATAAGATTCATTACAACCATTATGATAAAAAAACTTAAGAGATTATGTTCCTTTCTTAATCCCTATGGGCAAATTAAGAAATATGATCTAAAGTTTAAATCATAAAATTAAATTTCATGATAGAATTTGAAATTATTTACAAATAACTATACAGTAAATAAATTGATTTATTTCTATCATCACTGATAAAACTACTAAACTACATTCCGATACATAATTTGCATGTGTGCTAAATTATGACCATAGTCCAGTATTTCATCTTGATTAATACAAATATAACGAAATTGTCTGTGGGCTAAATTCCATCATATTACATACAATTAATCACAAATGATATGTCCAAAACTTTATGTGATCAAAATAAACTGCTTAATATATAATTTTAATAGATTAAGGATGCTATGACTACTCCCAATCAAATTCAAATTATAAGATCACTAGACAATTATCAGTTCCTTGCCTAACATATATAATTTAAACTGATTAAGGATGTTGTGGCTACTCCCTAACCAAATTAAAAATTATAAGATCATAACTTAATAATCTGATGTACTTGAATATGATGTAGATATTTCTTAATTAACCAAGGTTGAAAATTTAAGAGACTTCAGTAAATTAAAGATGCTTTGGCTATTCTTTAATGAACCGAAATCAAAATTCACATTGACAAGGAAAACTTAAAATTTTGACAAATTATACCAGATTATGATGGGAAATTTCCAATATACCCCCGAAAAATTGGCAAAAGACAAAGTCTCACTGAAAACCAATTCCTTAGATAGAGTATCAATTTAAGGAGACTAGTGGCACACGATGTTCTCAAGTCATGGCCATTAAAACTAGTATGCATCCCCGATTCATATACACTTAACGTATAACTGCCTGGGGTATAAACTGAAAAAACTGTAGGGTTTTATCCGAAAACTGTATGGTTCACCTATGATTAAAGTTTAAATTGGTGAACTAAATTAACGGCTTAAACGTGCTCAAATTCAGGCACTACCACAACTAAAGTTTATTCATAAGTCCAACTTAAATAGGAACTAATAATATAATTTCATCCCAAAGTATCCATTGCTAAAGCCATAATAAAATTGCATAATTTAAAACAGAATATTATGCTTAGAACCAATATACATAAAATTAAACATTAAACTCATATATTCTAAATAAATTGCATAACTTAAAGCAATTTACAATATGATATTTCAAAGTATAAACTTAATATTCAAACACCAATGTGTCCAAACCAAAAGCGACCCAACATTTTGAATAATAATGTACTGGATATATACTTTGATTTATTTTTTTTAAACTGTAAGCCCATGGCAAAATGTTTCAATGCATAAAGATCAAATTTATGAAAAATAACTGAATTTACAAATTCAAACAATATCAAACCAAAAGGATATGCAATCATTTGTAAATCAAAAATTTACAAACCCTAGTTACCCTACTAAAGAATAGACAACAGAAATATTCAAATATTCAAATATGACATTAATGACATAGTCATGCCTCATATCTATGATTTAATAATACGCGACCATTCTTGACAAAGAACGGTCGCGTATTGTATTTATTTATTTTTTAATTCGAAGGTAAAACACGACCATTTTGAAGCTAGAAATGATTGCGTTTTCCTTTTTTATTATTTTAATAATTAGTCATCTGCGACCATTTTTGGCTAGGAATGGTCGCGGATGACTTTTTAATTTTTTAATTATTTATTTTATTTAATTAAAATCCCTATTTTTTTTTTTATAATTCTTGTACCTGTTACAGCTTATTCAAATCCTATCAACATTACTCCACAATACAATTTATCTATCAATACACTTTAAAACAATACCTTTAACACACAATGCAAATACTATCATCAAATTAAACACAATGCAAATACTATCATCAAAATACAATAGCACTTAAAATCCTCATACTTTAATACAATAATATCATCAAAACATGCCCGACTCAATACTATCATCAAAACAAAATACTTTTTAATTTATCAATAAAATAAAAGTTATAAGCACTCGGAAAAGAAGAACTTTGACCAATGCTCTCGAAGCTCATTTATGTCGTCGATAGAATACAGACTATCGCTTTCAAATGCCTACAAAAAAATAAATTAATAAAATTATTAAATTATTAAATATGTTACTTAATAAAATATAACTTAACTATACATAGTTCTATTTAAATTCACTTACCCCATCCAAATTATCAACAGATGAATATTTTGTCACGATGTCATACATGTATCGCATGACATAATATCCACACTATCGGGCACTACAAAACACATATATTATTTTACTAATTTAAACAATTTACTTTAATTCAAATATCACACTAAGACTTAAATTCAATTTTCATATATATAATTTGCATGGCTTTCAATTGATGCTCTTAACCCGTGCACTCATAGGAACAGAGTGAAATGCCCTATAATAATTATAAGCATACATAAAAATTTATAAATAATATCATAGTGTTAGTTGTTTCTATTTTCCTTAATTTTTGTCTAAGACACAACAAATTAAACTAAAGGATTATATTAAATAATGTCTTTTATAAGAAGGGACTAAAATTTTGTATAAATGATTGCGCTTAAATTAGTACATATTATCTCTCGCCTTAGTGATTAAGTCAAGAATCATTTGCAATAGTTTCGCATTTAATAAATCTATATATATATATATTTTTTTTGAATGCTACTAGCTCTATTACAATGTAGTATCTGTTCATACTTTCTCAACCTACTGAAACACAAAGAGCCAATAACGCCTCCACTGAGGCTCGAAATCACAATCTTCCAAATATAATAAATCTATATATAGTTATATATAACTTCATATTAATTATGCCTTAGCTTCCACCTTTGTTAGAGTAAAATATGTTATATATAAGTTCTAAGTTGTGTAAAGAGAATACATAATATGCTTTTGTATTAAAGACGAAAGGAAGGAGAGGGGAGTATTCAGCACATTCTGCTTATATATTATGCATACTTTGATTTGAGTGCATAAAAAGCAGGGAACAAAATATTATAATTTCTACCCATTTTTTAAACGCAAGCTAAGTACCTTTTTTAAGATTATTTCTTTACAAGTTTATGTACTATATATAGATGGTGAATGAATACACAAGCCATTCTTCTCATTGTGTTCACAAGCCAAAATCTTTTTAGTTTTTCTAAATCATATTTAGCTTGGCCTTTTTCATTAATTTCAACTCAACATGGCAAACTTTCCTATTGATGACAATGTTATGATGGAGCTAGTTTGTGCAACTCATAATCCTGACGGTACAAACTTCAATTCTAATGTTGTTCTTAGTGCAATTGAGAAAATTCTCAACTCTGAAAAGGTTAGTTAACTTGTTTATCAGTATTATATTGTATTTGAATAAGAAGTCGTCAATACATTTTCATTTTATTGGTGTAGGCCACGGATAAAGAAGCCACAGGAGAGATGCTAGAGGAGTTTGAACTCAATTTTAGGGAGTTTTCTTTAAAAATACAACATCTTTGTTTTGAGGTATGGTTCTTGACAGTTGAACGATGGTTAGTGATCTCTGCCCGCATTTAAAGCATTGCGGAATTCCATCAATATGATGATCATAATGCTTTGTATAATGTTCTTTTATTCAATCTATAGTAGTATTAGTTGATTTTTGAATAATTCTTGTTTCTAGCTAACATCCAAGTCATCAAGCATGATTGATGGACACCTTACCACAATATGTCTATTAAGCACACTATCCGCGTATCCATGGGAGGCAAAGATGGTGCTAATGCTGGCAGCATTTTCCATTTGCAATGGAAAACTCAACATTTTTTCTCAACTACACTATAGGAAAGGGTTGAGAGAGCAATTGCCAATCGTCATGCAAATGACAAATTCAACAACATCTAATGACCCAAACCCAATTGATGATTTGATAAAGTGTGCCATGGATCTCACCAAATGCATTGTTGAGATTAATCAATCATCATCAGATTCCTTGTCCCAATCAGTTATTTTGGCATTACCAATGGCTAGCTATTGGATCGGGAGAAGCATTGCTTGTATTGCGACCAATTGTGCTTGTCTTCCTCTCACAAACATCAAGTAAGATTTAAGTTATGATATATTATTGACGAAATACTCATTTCTTCTCAACTGATCAGTTGAATTATTAATAAATAAAAATACATAATTAGTATTTTGTATTACATTTATCCACAAAGATGATAAGTAACACCCCAATGTAATTAATAAATTGTGATTATTGCATGTTTATAGAATTATAGATAATTATCGTTTTTCAGGTTTCGAAGTGAACTGAACATTATAACGGCCAAGATCAAAGATACACTCTCCACTTGTTTCCCAGCACTAGGTTGGTTACATATATAGCAATATAGCATACACAAAATTTGCATGCCATAATATTTATACGGAGTATATATTATGTCAAAATTGATGTATTTAATTTTTTTTTTAATTTTTAAATTTTTTTTTTTTTAATACAGAAGCAAAGAAAGCAGAGGAATCTTATAAAGCACTAAAACGTGCTTTATTTCATAACTCTTCTGATAAATTGGAAGTTTTAAAGCTAATATTCAACGTCATTGATGGAAATGAAATTTCACTTTCTACTCGACAGACTCCCGAGGTAAGACTGTAAACAAGTCACAAATAATCCGAAATACATATAGAAGTTCATCCACTTCCTTAGGAAAATAGTCGTTTGAAAATATGGTTATTAAGTAGTCTAGAAACAATGTTTCTTATCTGATGAAAAAAATTTCCAACCGCGATACTACTCCAACAACTTTGTTAAATAAACTATACAATATATAAAATATACTGCGTAAATCTTTTCTGAATTCTATTTGGCAATATTTTAACAACCACACTACTCTAATAACTTTGTAAAAGACTTAATTCCATTTTTGGTCCTAAATTTATAGGTGACAATTCACTTTAATTCATTTTTTATTAGAACATCCACTATTGTTCATAGTATTATTGTGGCATGACCATTTTTGGTCATTTATCAACAAAATAGTTTAAATATCATTAAATACAAGGGGGCATTTCGATCTTCAGTTATGGATTTTTTCAAAAAAAATAAACATAAAAAATATAGCGGTTCAACCTACTTTGTCTAAAAAAGATTGAAATGTCTTTGTATTTAACGACATTTCAACGATTTTGTTGAATAAGGACTAAAAGTAGTCATGTCACAATAATACTAAGACAAAATGAGGATGTTTTAATAAAAAAAAGGACTAAAAATAAACTGTCACCACTCACCTATAAATCTACGACCAAAAGTGGAATTAACTCCTTTGTAAAATAAGCTCTACGTTATATAAAATAGATAACAATCTTTTCTAAACTTTATTTGACAAGAAGAAAACAATTAGGTATCTTTCTCTTATTGTATTTATATTACTCCGTATTTAAAATAAATATAAAATGTATGTGTGTAAGTTTTTTTTTTTTTTTTTTTTTTTTTTTACAATTGAAAGAAGAAAAAAAATACTTATTTACTTATGTTATTTCAAATAATACATTTTAACATTATGTTACAAGTAGATTTACTTATCTTACAAGTAGATTTGATGTGATGAAGATTACATATATGGATTTTGTAGATTTATGGTGCAGACAACTGTGCATACAGTATAACAATTTTTTAGATCTGCGAAATGCATTCCTCATATCTTTGACAGTGGAGATTTTATATTCTTCTTATATTTCTTTTGGGTTTATATTTATTTTTTTTTTTAGGTTGAGAAAATTGGATTAAATTTTTTTGATGAGGATAAAAAAGTGGCTCTGCTACTAACATCAGGCCTTGACATCTCTAATGAGAGAATTCAGATTCTCAATAACTTTTACACAAATTCCATTTCAACTCCATATATTCTTTGGATCCCGATTGTGGATGATCATTTTTCGTGGTCTACTAAACAACATAAAGAATTTAGAGATAAAATGGAGTTTGAAATAATGGACGATCCACATAAAAGGATTGCACGAAGCTTCACTAGATTTGTCAAGGAGAATCTCCTCCCACACTTTCAGATTGGAGAGGAGCCTATCCTCATTTCACTAGATCAACAAGGAAGGATCATTCATAAAAATGCGATGCACATGATACAAACATGGAGTCCTGGTTATATTGAAGATAGAAAATTGGAAGTTCAGGAACGAAACAATATATTCCCTTTCATCGAAAAGGAGATGAAAGAAAGGTCTCAAGGTCTCGATAGTTTGATATTTGACATTGACGAACAGATCAGTCATTTGGCAGGTGAAGTTGATGAAAAGATAAATGCTTGGACAAGTCAAATTAACAACATGATAAATAAGCTGGTATGATATATATGTTTCTCTTATACTCTCTTTCACTGTAATTACTAATTACACATCTCCAACTATTCATCACATTACAAACACGTATTAACTTTTAACTGTAGAATTTTAAAATTGAAAATAATGCATACAAAATAAATTATTTGCTATTTTACCAATGCAAATTTCTTCTAAATTTCATTTTAAAAATAAAAATATTGTGTCATTTCGTAACATTAATTATTTTCTATGTTTTCATTGAAAATCAGAGAAAGCAGTCAAATATGTACTCAACTGAAAGAGAAAACGCTCTATGGAAAAAAGAAAAAGATTGGAGTCTTGGCCTTGTGGTTGGCGAAATTGACTACAGAATAACATCTTGGGTATGGCCATTTTCAACTTCTTATTAGTTAGAACTACATGCATGCCTACAAGATATCCTATATTGTTTTAAGCATCATAAAAGTGAACTCTGCAAAATTTAATTTGTCCAAGAAGAAATTTAATATAAAAAATAGATTTTAATTCCATTGCTTATGATAATACAATAATGTTTAATATGTTTTTCCTTGTTTAAACTTTAATATGTAACAATAATTTTTGTAATGCTTTCTTATTTTCTTTCATTAGATTAGGGAGGGATGTTATATTTTCTTATATGGAGGAAATGACATTAAATGGGTTAGAGAATTCACTTCCAAAGTACATGAAGTACGCTTCAAAACAGATACAGCCATAATGTTGATTTACATGGGAAAAAATGAGACAATAAGAGCAAGCATTGATGAAGAAAACATGAGCCATTTATTACATAGTTCCTACCATTCTTGGAGGTTTTGGACAAGGCTTCGAAGTGCATTACTGTCACGAATCAATTATTTATATGCAACTAATTGTCATGGTGATGTGTGCGACGATGAAATTGCACAAGGGTTCAAAAAATTGTTGGGTTATGAATGTAAGGGTGCAATAATGGAAGGATGGGCATTGTTAAGCAAAGGGCAAAAGGTGGTTGTTTGTGGGCAAGGAGCTAAAATGTTGAGGGTCATTAATGAGCATGAGAGTTGGAAGGAAAACGTGGCCCTTAAAAGCTTTGACCAAGCATTCAAAGACTATTACAACAAGACCCTGCATACTTCTTGTTCATCAAATAGCCATTCTTGTTGTGCGTTTGAGTACCCAGTTACCTTGAAAGATATCCCAATGAAAGAGAAATGCCCTGAGTGCTTTCGTGATATGCAAAAGATGGTGACTTTTACATGCCATCATGGTGACAATTGATTACAAGCTAAGGCATTATATTCAAAGACAGGCACATGAGCAGCTTACCTTGCTTCCTATGATGCAGTGTGTATTACCATCTTGAGAGCCCAATTACTTCTGATCTTGTAGTCCTCCAATTCTAGGTTTTGTTCTATCTGATTTGTATGAAGTGTTTTAGTTCTATAGTTTTGGTGAAAATTTCAACCCCATGTATTTACAGTTTTTTTGTTGTCAATTATATCTCGTAATTAAAGATATTCATCATCATATCACCGTATTCCAATTCGTCATCAGGTGGGAAGAAAGTGTGTGCGTATATAACTATATATATAGTTTGAAATAGAAACTTGACCAGGAGAAGAAAAAAAAAACACAGAAACAAAAAAACTTGTGTCAAAATTACAAAAATCTGTTCTGCCAAATTAAATGTAGTGAAAGAAAATTGTTTTTGGGCAAATTTTTAACTTGGGGTTGCTTAACAATATCCATTAGATTTTTGGTTGCTTTGGGAGAGGACTGAATTTTATATATATATATATATATATATATATATATATATGTATGAAGAGGATCATATGAGAAAAAGCTCCTAGGAAGCTCCTATATATATAACTATCTGACCACTTGAATCCCTTAGGCCTTAGGCAAGCTCCACCTGTTGCGCTGTTTGTTGGCAAATTATATCATGCATCGCGCGTCCTTTTGTTAAATGAAAAGAAACGTGTTTGTTTTTCGCCGTTTTACACCCTTTCGTAAAAAGTAACTCTGTTATTCAGTGTCATTTTGTATACACTGCAGTTTCAGTTCAACACAACTACAGTTTCATTTCGATATAACTATAGTTTCATTCGATATTTATAGACTCAAATATGTGAAAATGTTATTTAATTTTATTTTATATACACTATATTTTCATTAAAACACAACTACATGATCATTTTGATATAATTACAGCTTCATTGTACAATATACACTCAAATATGTGAAATGTTATTCAGTTTCATTTTATATACATTGCAGTTTCATTTCACTATAACTACAGTATCATTTTGATATAACTGCAGTGTCGGTTTAGATATACTGTAGTGTCAGTTGGTGTTTAATACACCAAACAAGCGGACTTCGTTAACTATAACGGCGGGCCGTTTCTTTACTTAAAGAAACGGCGCCGTTTTTGACCGCGGTGCACATGCACTGTGGTCTATGATTAGGGCCGGTCCTATCATTTTATAGGCCCGGGGCAAATAAGGAAAAAGGGCCCTATAGGAACAGTTATGCCACACCTGGGTTCACTTTGCAAGGTAGATTCGGGTCAAAATACACAATTTATATACTTAATGTTCACAATTTAAATTGTATACATTCAGTATGTAAATTGTGAATATTTATTATATAAAATTGTGAACATTCAATATATAAAATTGTAAACATTTAGTATGTAAATTGTGAATATTCAGTATATAAAATTATAAATATTCAGTAGGTAAAATGTGAACATTCAGTATATAAATTGTGTCAGTATATTTCATAGACCTAGTCAACATATGCCTTCAATTCCTTCATAAATAAACGAATAAAGAAATTTAAAACCAAAATAAAATCAATCTTCAAATAATAAAATTACTAAATTTACATTTTCATTTTACACAAAGAATACTAAATAGAATTAAAAGACAAATAAAATTCTTAATTCTTAAGTTTAACTAGTTAAGAATCCCAAATCCCAAATAGAATTAAAACACAGATAAGATTCTTAATTATTAAGGTTAACTGGTTAAATAGAATTAAAAAGACAATTGGAATACCTATTAGTTTATTTGATGGAATTAAAATACAATTCGGCAGTTTGCAAAAAATATCCAGAGAATTTAGATAATTACTAATTAGAGGCTATTTAGACAATTGGAATACCTATTACTTTAATTAGCTGTAACAGCTCGTTTGGTTTGCTGGAAAATATTTGAAGGGAAATGGAATTAAAATTTCATGGAAAATAAATTCCAAAAAAATAGATTCCATTGTTTACAGTTTGCAGAGAAGGAGAAAAACCAGAGTCCAGAGAGTCAGACATAATAGAATAATAAATTTTGAATACAGTCATACAGAAAGAATACTCTTGAACAATTAATTAGAGGTGTTGGTCACTCCAGTTGGTCGGCAATTAGGCCATTGCAAATTACAGATTTGCGGTGGCTTAGCGATTATGAGAAGCAGCCGAAGCCTCGACATTGGCCCAGCGATTATCTATTCCAGGTTAGCAGATTGTCGATTTTCCGTGTAGGATTGTAATATGTAGGTTTACTAAATTACTTTAGTTTTAAATGTTAAGAAGCTTTGGATGGTTGCTGAGACGTGACTCCTGGGCACTGGTTCGGCGGCGTGAGTGCGAGACTGTGGTTGTCTCTTCCGCTTCTCGACTCCTCGACTTCAGAAAATCATAAATCGATAAACATAATTTTTAATTTTTAATATATATACAGAGTATGTATTATATTATACGGGCCCTTACTAGAGATGGGCCCTGGGCAAGGGCCCAGCCTGCACTTGCCCAGGGTTGGACCTGTCTATAATATAACGACTGCTGTTTGTTGAGAAGAAAGCGTCCGTATTAAGTTTTAATCTTCCCGACGGCGGTGCAACCTACTTTATCCAAAGTGTAATTCGAAACTTTTTATTCAAACTATTTAATTGAAATTTATCCGAATAAAAATAAACATAAGAATTATATTTCTTTTAATTTACAAATAAAACTTGTGGCTTGAGTTATATATACGTTTGTTTCATTGTGCATCTATTTACTTATCCATGCATGGTTTCATTCTTGGTAATGCATTTTTACACCAATTCCCTCATCATTTTCACTTTGCTTTTATGTTTATGTTTATGTTTTTTTTTTTTTTTTTTTTTTTTTTTTTTTTGCACACTTTATTCATTGTATACGCGACTTCGGACATCAGATTCACTTAATTGCTTAATCCCTAGTGGAATTTTGTTTCTTCGAGTGGATTTAGGGATTAAGCAATTAAGTGAATCTGATGTCCGAAGTCGCACATACAATGGAGAAATACGAAGAATTATACATTAGGCAAATGAAATGACTACTCTAACCTTTCATTTAAAGTCGAATTTATCATGATTTGACAAAAGGATCTCAATTGGAAAGAAATTGAAAGTTAAAGGACGTAAAGTGTCCAAATTAAAAGTCGATGACTAATTTTGAAAAATCAATATAGTCGGAGGACCATTGCTGAAATTAACTCTTAATAGATGTGTTGAATGATATGTTGTAAGATTTTCTGAACATGTCAGCTAGAAAGATTTTTCATACATTCATGATATGCTGGAATCAAGCCTGCATGGGTAGCTCAACTGGTCATAGAGGTGAAACTTTGGAAGAATGACTAGGGATCAAGTCTCACCAACGGCAGTGCAGGAGCAACCCCTCAAAGTGAGGGGGGCTCCTTGTGTGCAGTGAGCACCGGTCGGGGGATCTTCCCGCTCTCTTTAGGGGAACTAAGGCCCTTCCCTCCTGCCCTTCGTTTTTGGACTATGGGCAGAGGGAAGAGCTTACTTCCCCGTAGGAATCCCTTCGGGCGATTAAATACGATCCCTAGCCACGGTAAAGAAAAGAAAGGAACTCAACTCTTAAGACTGCTACTGCTTTTAGGACTTATTCCTCTTCAACGAGCCTTAGGGAGAGATCGGAAAGCTTCCTCCGCCCGGAGTTAGCTTCCCTCGAAGGGTTCTAAAGGAGAATTCTTTAGATTGCTACGGCTTCCTCTCAATCGCCGAGGGCTCGCTGCAGGTCCCATTAGGCCGGTCAAGGAACAATAACTCAAGCAAGCCTTTGTGGTTCATGTTGGAATCAATTATTATGATACATGAATCAATTATTATGAGATTTGTCCGATGCCTATTGCCAAATATGAACTCTATTGCTCAATAATCCACTAAGGCCATCTCCAACCCATTACACCAAATTCTGCACCAAAAAGAATATTCTCAGAATATTCTTACACCAAATTTTATTCATCTCCAACCCATTACACCAAATTCTATTTCTACACTAAAATAATTTGTTTTCTTATACATTAAAACTTTAATTTTACTTTAATTTTTTGAATATAAAATTTAATTGTAATGCAAATAATATTTTTATTCCACAATAATATACTCCGTAACATATAACAACTATTACATTTAATTTTCAAAATTATCAAATCGTTCCCACAAATGCTCTGTCAATACATTACGGAGTGCATAATGTGTTTCTCTATTAATTCTAGGTATGTTTTTATATATTTAATTTCGGATGTATTCAGTTTAATATTATGAAAATTATGTTTTATGTATTTTAATTTTTAATTAATCTATATATAATATTAGGCTTGTTTTAATCGTATTGATGAGATCTTTCAAATGGTATAATTTATTTTTAATTATTCAAATTTTATGTTTATGTATTTAATAAAATATGTAAATCCATAAAAACAAAATAGGGATACAAAATGAATTAATAAAAAAAACAAGGGTCAAAGTAGAAATTAAAAAGATTAACACCATTTTGGCGTCAAGCTACCGTGCAGCGCCAAATATGACGATGCACTGTAGATCATCGCCAAAATGGCGCCTCTTTTGGTGCTTCGTTGGAGGAGTGCAGCGCCAAAATCAGCGTCATTTTGGCGTTTGGTGTCACAAATGCCGCTCCCTTGGAGAAGGCCTAAACATGGGAGGTGTAGATGTGTTGAAATTAACTAATATGGAGCAACTAAGTCTAGTCATATTTCGGCCTTAACACCAGTCCTATCAAAAACGAAATATGCATGCACTAAAAAATTTGGGGATTCTAAACTCAATTTTAAAAGAGTTAACATCATCATAATATATACATTTGTTTCATGGTGTATGAGTGTATCTATTTACTTATTCATGCATGGTTTCATTCAATGATTTTCTACCGTTGTGAATTGAAGATCGAGAATGTGGAATATATTTGTGCAATTAAGACAAAACTGATTTATCTTGGTAATGCATTTTTACACCAATTCCCTCATCATTTTCACTTTGCTTTTATGTTTATGTTTTTTTTTTTTTGTTTTTTTTTTTTATTTTTTATTTTTGCACACTTTATTCTTTTGACACTTTATTCTATCTGTATTATACATAGAGTGCATAAGAAGCAATAAACAAGAGCATATAATTTTCTCCAAATTTTGTAATGAGAAGAAGGAAGTG